GTCCCCAGGGCAAACCGGCCCAGAAGAGCATCGGGCAAGGACACCCGGGGCAAACTCGCTCCATTGACGTGATTCGAGGGATCATTCTCTCCGCCTGAAGGGCCGATGCTCCGAGAGATCGACTAAGAATACCGATACATGGTCAACCTTGTGATCATGGCCTAACTACTGCAGGGTCTTCTTGGCGAAGACTAAGGCCGTCGCGGCACAGAAGCTTAAGCATTTCATGGCATACTTTAAGCGGCAGTTCAACTGCCGTATACACGTGCTGAGGACGGACGGTGGTGGGGAATACAAGACCCTCGATCTCTTCTGCAAAGATACCGGAATCAGGAGGCAGATTAGCGAGCCGCGAAACCAGGCTAGTAACGGCAAGGCGGAACGAATACACCGCACCGTTATGAATATGGTGCGGAGCATGGTGTTCGCCTGTGGCCTTCCGCTTAGTTTCTGGGGGGATGCTGCGGAATATGCAGCCTATATCCTAAACAGGAGCCCGACGAAGGCTAACCCGGGATCGAAGTCGCCACTGCAGATGCTCACGAAGAGCACACCGGATTTGAGTGACATCGTGGTTTTCGGGTCGCCCTGTACGGTGCACGTGGACGCAAAGAACAAGTCCCTGGGTGAGCGGGGCAAGACGGGCATGATCGTGGGAAAGAACGACGAGATTAAAGGCTACCGGGTGTATCTCCCGAAGGATAAGGTAGTCGTAGTGACGCAGCATGTGAGCAACGTCGAGACGTTGTCGGACGCAGAACGAGCAATTGAAGCGCGTGCACCTGGAGGACTCCGAGGAGTCGGAGGGCACGGGCGCATCGGAGACAGACACTTCGAGGAGAAAGACGAAGGAAAGGCGAAGCGTCGCGGGAAGAAATCTCGCTGGACGCGGGATAGGCATCAGACGCGCTCGGCTACGCGGAAGCCCGCTGAGGCGGTGGCGAGTGGAGGCGCTGATGAGGATCGGGTGGAACAGACCGCGGACGTGGTGAACAGCGTGCGGGGAGCCCGACCCGAAGAGCTACCGGCAGGCAAAGAGGAGCAAGCTCTGGAGGGAAATGGCTGGTTGCCATCGCGGAGGAGCCTCAAATGCCGCTGGAAGGAGAACGGCGTGTGGGTCGTGGTGGTGCTCCGATCGGCAGCCACGTGCTGCACACTAAGTGGGTAATCAAGACCAAGACTGATGCAGACGGAGCCATAGAAAGGTTCAAGGCCAGGCTCGTTGCGTGTGGCAACGAGTAGATCTTTGGCGTGGACTTCGGGCTCACGCTCGCGGCGGTCATGGAACTGAGCACGGTGAAGGTCATCCTGGATTTTGCTCGTCGCTGGGGCGTGCCGGCGAGGCACGGGGACATCTTCAACGCGTACGTGAAGGCACACAAGGAGCAGCATCTCGAGATCTACCTGGAGATCCCACAGGGAATAATGATTGGAGATGAAGTGATGCGCAGGCTCGGAGTGAGCGTAAAAGGTAAGCTGGCGCTACGCTTGAGGAAGTCGCTGTACGGCCTACGCCAAGCAGGCAGGCTGTGGAGTCAACTCCTGCACACAAAGCTGGAGGAGGCGGGGTTCACACGGTGCGTGACGGACATGTGCCTATAATACAAGCGAGAGGACGGCGAGATGACGCTCGTGGGCGTGTACGTGGATGATCTCCTGGTCACCGCGTCCAAGCCGAGTCTGGTAGACGACTTCTTCTGCTCCATGAGCGTGTTGTCCGTGAAAGACTTGGGCGAGGTGAGGAAATTCTTGGGGATGCGCGTGAAGCTGGACAGCAGGCGAGGGTACTCGCTGGACCAGCAGGCGACGATCGAGGAGCTGCTGGAGCAGCATGGGCTGGCGAGCGCGAACAGTGTGCGGGTTCCGGTTGGTGAGGAGCACAACGAGGCGGAGGTTGACGAGCCGCAGTTGTTGACCAAGGTGGGTGCGCCGGGTGAGCCAACTATCCGCCGTTTCCAATCGCTCGTGGGAAGCTTGCTTTGGATCGCACGGTGCACGAGACCCGACATTAGTTTCGCTGTGCATAAGGCGACGAGGAGGACACACCAGCCGACCACGAGTGACTGGAAGCTGGCCAAGAGGGTCGCAAGGTACTTGAAGGGCACGTAGAGCGTCAAGCTGATCATGCAGGCGCCGACGAGGAAGGACGACGTGATGGCTTTGGAGAGCTGGAGCGACGCAGACTTCGCCGCCGACAAGAGCGACAGGAAGTCGGTGACTGGAGGAGTCGTGACGATGGACGGGGCTGTGGTGCAGTGGATCTGCAAGAAGCAGACCGGCGTGTCGCTCTCCACGATGGAGGCCGAGTTCACGTCAGCGTCGCACGTGGGGCGCGAGCTGCTGGGACTTCGGGAACTGGTGCGTGAGCTGGGTTTCCGGGTAGTGGAGCCAGTGCCCATGTGGATGGACAACCAGGCGGCGATCAAGCAGCTAGAATCCGAGGAGAGCCTGGCGAGTGCGAAGCACGTAGACATCCGCGTGAAGTTCATCTGTGATTTTGCCAGGAAAGGGATAGTGGAGTCACGCCTGATGATGGCGGATCTTCTCCCAAAGGCGTTACCGGCGCCGAGGATCGCGGAACTGCGGGAGATCTTCAAGCTGAAGTGACGTGTTCTGCCGAGAGTGCGACGACCGAGAAGGAGTGTTGGATTTGGACCGTGCGGCTGGAGCAGCTGCGGTTCAAGGCGGTAGAAAAGACCGGCTCGGCCGCCGACTATACGGAAGCACAGGAGAGGTGGCACGGGTGGCTGCCACAGGAAGATGGTTAACAGAGAAAATATCACTTCTACATTCTCACAGTATAACCTCTGTCTAACAGCCCGCTGGTCAGTGGAATGGTGCCACCCGAGCGTGTCTGTAGCTCGGTGCAACGTGCAAGAGCGAGCTCGGGGGCTCCCTTCGTATACGTGCGCCACTGATTCTCGCCGTATGGCACTGGGATAACCACAGACATGCGTTTGCGCTCGCTACTGAAGGGCAAGACACGCCGGATGCTGGCGTTTGTGCGCATCGCAGCGTAGTCGAAGTCTCCATCACTGCAATCTGTGGCGAAGGCCAAGAGCGCGCCCTCTGTCTGACTGCCGAGAGCTTTTCGTGGAGAATCTTCCGTATAGCCTTCTGCAAGTGGAAGCAACTCACCCGTCGAGTTCAACGCTACACCTTGACACAGCGTGTAAATCATTGCGTCATCCATAGCAGCCCTGGCTGAGGCAGCCGAGTCCAAGTCAAGTTGAGCGTCATCCAAGAGACTTACGAAGTCGTTCTCGCTGTCAGGTGCGAGCCACAGGCGGGCGGGTTACGGGTTATAATCTAGTTTAAAACGGATGATTTTTTTTGTATCCCTTTAGGTTAGATTATCTTTTTTTATTTTTATTCTACTTAATCTCAAATGAAACATCACCTTACAACGGATGATTTTGGAGTGTTTTCAAATCTTTAGAATGAAACTCTTGTGTGTTTTTTTCAAGTAAAAACAACGTATGCTTTCTAGGTAATGGAGATGTATACCTAATGCATATCTGGACGGATGCCAACAGTGGTTGGCCGTGGCGACACTTCGCTATTTTCATCGTGAGACAGCGCCAGCAGCGGGCTCTAGCGCCGCTAGACTAGCGGTAGTGACACCGACGACGACTCGTTGGTAGTTTGAGCGCAC